GATTATAGGTGTACTTGACGATAATAAAGTGGTGGAAGAATATGTAGGTACGCAGATACAAATAGGAAACGTGGAAGTAGTACAGGTCGTATAACTGTCATTAGAATTTTGTCACTTATATCGCAATTGTTATCTTGTTCATATAATAATAAAATTCAAATTGCAGGAATTAGATCTAACGATTGTATTGATGGACGTGGGTGAAGTTGCTGAAATTGTAGTCACGTCTACATTTGCGTATGGCACACGTGGAGAACAGCATCTATATCATCTAACGCCACTCGTACATACACGGTTGACGTAAAGAAAATAAAAGAGGAGCCTGAGATAGAAACTTTAAGCATTACGCAAAGGAGAGAAATAGGGTAATAGTTTTGTTTATGAGCCATATACGTGAAGGTCACTTATTTTCTGCAGCCAAGTGCTGTTCAAAGATAAGGCTTTACGTGATTTATCTTTTTAACTTCTTTGCATCATGTTGTAATTTATTTCTTTAAAGCAACAAGAAACGCGAACGTGGAAACTGGTTTTTTATGCGAAGAGACGTCAATCACGCGATACAATGTTATCGGAGAGCGTTACAATATCTACTCATACTGCAAGCTCTGTTAGATGATTGTGTAAAGGTGTATAACATGTTAGCAGCTGCATTGCGTGAAACTGATGCCTACAACACAGCTTTAGAAAATGTAAACAAAGTTCTAAAGTATCAACCAAACAATACGAAAACTCTGTACAGAAAAGGTAGTACAAAATCTTGCCTAAAGTTTTTTCTTTTATTTAAACCAACTTTTTTAATATCCTTGATTCATACTTTATATGATAAAAAGTATATATCTTTCTACATATATGTGTTATTTACAGGATATTGGAACGTATTTATTTTATTATAGGATGACGATAATGAAGAGAAAAACTCTGACGTAGACGTAGACGATGTCGATATGGCGGAGGATAATAAGGACTATTCTATGTGAACCTCAAACATTTGTAAAGATATTAATTTAAATAATTGTTATTGCATAAAAACGGAGGATATTTTTTCTCAAAAATGTCATGTTTTTGTTCAAGTGCTAAAAAATTTTATATTTTACAGTTTTTTTAACCATGTTCCTGTGATTCATACAGAATAAAAATATATAAAAATTAATAATCTTTTTCGTTTTTTTATTTCAGATCAAAATTGCGGGCTACATTTTTCCCGCAGCGTGGCAACTCGGTTGGCGAGGCGCATCGTGTCGATGAAAAAAAGCTGTGGACTCATGATAATGGCACATCATTTTATAGATGTGTAATGCCATGTAGACGGTTCCAGTTCTTATCTGTATGTCTGCGTTTTGATATAAAAGCTACACGAGATGCCAATGACAGGTTTGCTCCAATACGCAATATTTAGAGGATTTTCATTGAAAATTACAAGAATAATTATAAACCAAGTAGTCAATGTACAGTGGACGAGCAACTACTCGGCTTCAGAGGACGTTGCAAAATGCGCGTTTATATTAAGGGGCTACATCCACCAAAAAAATTTTTTTTGCATTTTTTAAAAGTTTTAAGTGTTGAGAATATATCCTGAAAATTTTACATCGATATCTGTAAAATTGACAAAGTTATAGAATTCCGAAGAAAACAAGTTCAAGCGTTCGAGCGTTCGAGCTCCGCTATCTGA